TTGCCTTATGGATCTTAATCCTAGTTTTGCGCCGATGTTGAAAATACGTAATTTTCCTGAGGTGTGTCTTTGTTATTAGATCTCTTAAAATACGTCTGCATCAGAGCCGTATGTTTATATCTGGTCGACTTCGTAAACCTTTGTTGTTAAGTGACTCCTTGTTTTCACCGTTTTCAATGTATCACACGTCATTCCCTTTATGTTATGAGATGTTCATTTAATGCGTTGTTGATGACAGTAAACACGCTAACCCGACCTATTAACACATTCAGTGCATTTGATTGACATTCCCAAATAACGGTTTTTATATCCAAGTCATCGTTACTCATCTCTTGTATATCTTTGATTCTGCCAGAAATCTAGTTTAGCCTTTACGATCTGACTTTTCTACAACGATTACCGAGCTAAAGCTTCCTTCAATAAACCATCGTGTTTATCTATTTTTAACCCCTACTAAAATGCATCTGCTGTAGAGTTCGCTTAAAATTATTAATCATTGGGGATTTGGTTGTTTAATATTTTACTGTCTAAAACGCTGCAGCTGATACTGTTATTCAAACTTTATATATTTAAGTATATAATATAACTTTCTATTGTAAGTTTATTTTTATAACACATTCACACACTCGTACTTGCCATAAGGTAATTTAAAGTATTCGCTGTACGTAATGCTTAGACTATTGCAGTTAAGCCTGTATAGTTATTGTTCATACAAACTCCTACCCCGAACCTCACAAATTTATAGTATTGGATGAGTTCATAGGGACAACAGGGGTGTATTCTATACTCCATGACAATATATCTGGACAATTCTGTGTTGAAAAATTTACTTTCCTTCGTTTTGTCCTATTTTAGATGCTGACATTTTCTGACACGATGTCTTCTGTAAACAATATTTAAGGGTTTTAACATTTGTATGACATACAATTCCTTCGCAAGGAAATAACTCTTAATTTCAATAATACAGTTACTAAAATATCATATTCGTTTGTATAATTGACGATGAAAACCTATTTGTTGAAAAGCCGTTGCAGGAAACAAAACAAGAAAAAAGGAAACACATGAACAGTTATACAGGGAATGATAACATGAACAAAATCGAAATGTTCGTGAATTGGATATTTATTTATTTCGCCTACAAAACAATGACCAATATTCATTTCTAACCGGGAAAACATTCATATTCTCAACCCACTATTCTATAGATTTTGATCGATGCCATTACATCTTGTTTTTTTATCTCAACTTTATCCTGACTTTATTATCCTCAGCTTTTTCTTCTATAAACGTAAACCGTTTAAATTTAAAATATAAAATTGTTTTTGCTTTCATATTTTTAATAATGATGATGTTATGCAATTTACACATAATTAAGCAATTATAAAATTTCATAGCATTAAATGAAAAAAAATATTATTTTAATTATTCATCTTGCTTCAGTAGGTAAGCCACTGATAGAAATCAACCACCAAATATAAGAAATGGCTCTTTCTAATTCTTTCTCTTCTTGGCATTGTTCTTCGCTTTTATTGCAAGTCATAAATCAAAACTGGCCAATGAAATGATCCATAAAACAGTTCAAAAGCCTTTGCTGGATTTTTTGCTTCCTCGATTTGCTTTTATCTTTGATTTAATTTATGAGCTTTAGATTCTTTAAGAAGCCATTGAAGCGACCTCTCCATCTCTCTACCCCACTCTCTTTGAATGTCTATCACTAAGATGTACATATTGACTGCTTTCGTAACTGTAGATTTTTTTTACAAACGTTTACACACACACACACACACACACACACACACACACACACGAGATATATATATATATATATATATATATGGTTATTATTATAGTTATTTTTGTCTGGTTTGTCTATATTTGAATTTTTTAAACTGCTTTTAAAATAGCCCGAGTTTAACACGAAGCAAAAATATCTTCGACCAAAACGAGACGGATTGGCCGACTAATACAGTTCACCACTACCAAATAAAATAAAAAAAATAATTGGCGGGAAATCAAAAGCATTTACTTTCCGTGTGCAAAATTCTTCATAAATTTGTTTCTGTACTTATATATAATATATACTGACACATGCGTGCGTCTATATCATACTGAAAAAGAGGTTCACGTAGAGTCAACGATGTTAACAGAACTTGAGCCTGGACGAGTGTCAGCTTGGGAATGCCAGGTGTGGTAATGTGCGTGTCTTGTAATGCATAACGGTTCGGAGTCGGAACTTGGATTGACGAGTTCCAATTACAATTGGGTTCGTTATATACACTGAGGCTCAAATATACTTTGCAGTACGAAATATCAAACGAATATATTAATCACAAGATTAGAGAAAATTATAAAGTAAATTTTGAAATTCCACTTGGTTTATTTTATATTGTTTCCCTTCAGAATGTTGTTGATCATGGCTTTCGACAATTTCCTCTCTTTTGTACGTCTTACGTCGTGTTTCTTTTTTTTATCTCTCCTAAATCCTGTGTTGTCATTCATTCACACAAGATGGTTAAGTCTATTATGCGCTGGTTTTCTCTCTCCCAATTTTCTTCAATATGTCTTATGAGAGTCAAACCATTCAAGCAGACTATCCTAATTATGCGCCCTCGGAAATTCAGCTGCCTATTTCTGGTGTTAAATATGTGTCCTTTGCGTTTATATTTTCTTTAAAATTTCGTTGTTACACACACTTTCAGTCCAGTGAATTTTCAGTATCCTTCTGTACAATATTTCTATCACTTCGTGTTTCTATTTCACCAATGAGGCTATAGTCTAGCATTCACTGCTATATAAGAGGGCTGTTATTTCATCAGAATCCAGTAATCTTTGCTTTTTTTCTAATGAAAATTTTCTGCTTATCAACACTATTTACCTTTTGGACGGAAACATTCGCTATCTCAGTGCGCCGTCGGATTTTAATGTCTCAGTTTCGGTCCCGTGTTAGAAAATTTCCCAGATATTAAAATTGTTATATTGTTTCAATTTCTGTCTATATTTCTGAGATGAGGTTTTATGAAGGCCGGAGCGTACAACGGCCGGAACGTTGCGATAAACATGGCAACAAAGATGAGGATTATATTCCGAATAATGTAAATAGTGTTGTTTGAGTTTGATATCTCAAATTTGTAATTTGCTGTTGGGGTTCTTTTGTTGACAACCATGAATTCTGCCTTCTTGTAATCGATGTTTTTTCCTTTGTTTTCGCTCTCCTTCACTAGTAAGAGGTTCTTGTATTCCAACTGGCTAAAACTAAGTAACAGACTATTTCCTAAATTGAACTTAGGTCTAATGGCAATAGAAAGAACCGTTAGTCGAGATAATTTCTATCTTAATATTGATAGAAAAATTTCATAGAAAATGTGTGTTCCGACAGGAATCGAACCTACCGAATTCTACATTTGAAAAAAATGCAATTTCCATAACTAAAAATATTTAAATTCAATTGATATTTCTACTCCAATATTTTCTTTTCTCACACTTCCCACCAGTGGAACTCCCTTCAGTTTACTTGGTTCGTGATAACTACAATCTTCAAAAATGTAAATGTAACATCACCATCTCTCCTATTGAATCTCGTTCGTCTTTTGTCATTTCCTCAATTCTCCTTATTCTCGGTCTTTCACTTTCACTCCATGGAACCTTTTGCCCACTAGTGGAATTTCCCACCTTACTTGGGATGAAATGATAAAAAAATGTTTCGACCGTCAAAAAACAAAAAAATAGCAATTGCAGCAAACAGATACATTTTGTAATATTAATCTATTTTAATATATTTACTGTTTATACGTTATTTTTATAGATACAAATATTTAAAGAAATGCTCTGTTTGTAATAAACAGTATAAACAATATTTACCGGCGTTAATGTCCGCGAAATTTGATAAGAAATGTGTCCTCGAACCGGAATCGAACCTGAATCCTACATGGTACTGTCATATAGCCTGTCCTGCTATGCCATTTAGAGAAAGCGACTGATTAGCAAGTACAAATTACTGTTTTTTGCTACAAATTCCTCCTAATTTCTCTCGAACGTTCATATCTGCTCGAAGGTTATCATAACTTAAACAAATGGCATCATATCCCTGCATATAAGCAGCTAGTCGCCCGCTTGCGGGCCGGCGCTGTCAACGCTAGCGGTCATCTACTGGCAGCCAGCTGCATGACAGCGGTGGGCCTCTAGCGGTCCTCCAGTGGTAACATTGCCGATACAAACACGCCAGCGGTCTCACAGTGGGTTATCAGCGGTAAAGGCTAGTGGCATGATACCCAGTGGCAGATTGGTGGTTTGCGTGTAGGGATATTATCAAATGGACAGTCCAGCAATTATTTTAATATATGTTCTGTTTATACGTTATTTTCATTGATACAAATATTTAAGTAAATGTTCTGTTTATAATAAACAGTATTGACAACAATTTCTAATTTAAAAACAGTAGCTTGATCCTCCTAACCGGACGCTTCATCTGCAGCTAAATAGTATAGCACGTCAGGCTATATGACGGTTCTGTGTAGGATAAAGGTTCGATTCCTGTCGGAACACACATTTTCTATGAATTTTTTCTAACATTCAGGCTGGTAAATGTTAATAGTGTTTATTATAAACAGAGCCTTTACTTAAATATTTGTATCTATAAAAATAACGTATAAACAGAAAATATGTTAAAATAATTGTCGGATTTAGTTCATTTCATAATATTAATCTATTAAAAAATTATCCAAACTGTGTCGTCTAAAAGGTCCTGGTAACATTTAGAATTGAGCCATATCTAAAATAATCGAACATCAGAGAGGACGTCTTCACACCGTGAGCCAAAACCTTACAGAGCAAGTTTCTATATGTGACTGTTCAATCCCCTGAAACACGGCTGGCAGGTTGAGCTAAAGACGGCTATAAATACAATCGGAGTTTTTAAAATTCAGTGCGAATTGGTAGAAAAGGAAAAGCAGAAGTTCTAATTAATCTGGTTTGTCTCTTTTTGCGCACAGGCACTTACCAATATGGGCATGTCTGCCTTAATCACAGTTATTTCGATCAGGCATTCATCGAACCAAATCTTTTCGAAGCGATCGGGCTAGTCTCATTGAATTTTACCGGAAAGCCGCATAAAGACATCCATCCGGTAATTTATCTAGAAGCCTACTTTGATCTATATATGTCTCTTTGTATTAAGGCATCGCACCCAAAACTCAATCCAAATCATTCATCTGCACCATCACTATCTTTCGGTCAATATCTATCTACCTATCTATCTGAAGATACTTATCTTTCTTTCAATACCACAATTATTTAACCTTTCTATTCATTCTTTCGACGTGCTTTATGGTTCTTCTCTCTCCCCGTTCTCTTTCTCCCTCTCTACCACTCTCTCTACCTCTCTCTCTCCCTCCCTCCCTCTCCCATCTGCCTCCCTCCCTCTCCCATCTGCCTCCCTCCCTCTCCCATCTGCCTCCCTCCCTCTCCCATCTGCCTCCCTCCATCTCCCATCTGCCTCCCTCCCTCTCCCATCTGCCTCCCTCCATCTCCCATCTCCCTCCCTCCATCTCTCCTCTTCAGGCTATTTTGCCGGTAAATATTTTTAATGTTATGAAGGCAGTTAATGTTAAAAACACAGATTTAACATATTTTCCCATCAATTTTTATGGCGATTTAAAATCTTTTCCGTCATCACTTGTTAAGACATGAGTTAAAGTCATTTATTCATTAATTGTTAAAAGAAATATAGATGTCTCTGAATATTTTAAGCACTTCAAGCATAACATTTTCTGCAAATCCGAAACTTTCCCTTGGTCGTTGTTCCCTTGTAAATACACTTCAGCTGCATCCACCAAAGACAACAGTCAAAGAACACAAGATCCATGTTGTTCAAGTTCTACATACACAGCTCATACAAACACTACGCCGACGATCTCAGAACAGGAATAGTGAAAATAAACAAACTTCTGTGTTAAATCTGTGTTGTTATTTTTAATATTACCTGCCTTCATCATAGTTAAAAAATATATTTACCGGCAAAATAGCCTGGGGTTGTATTTTGCTGAGACCGGTATAATATGCTTAATATCATGTATGTCTATTTTGCCGGTCCAGGCAAGATAGTCTATTTGTATTCATTTCTATAGTTTTCCTATTAAGCCTTCTTCAGGACGTTGGAGATAATAGCTCTTCCCAACATTCTATTATCTGTAGCTCTACAGCTTGTTTTTTTTAAATCTCTCTTAATCATTGCACTTCCAAACATTTACACCAACACGTTAGGTAGATCATTCGCTGCTTTCTGCAGTCCCTTTTACCTTCAATAAGTTTCGTAATTGTCCAATTCTCTGAACACACTTTCCTCGGTTTTTTTCCCGAAAATGTCAACTGTCTGATTCGGAGTATAAATGTCGTTCTCCTTTCCATTTTATCTAATATTTTGTCATTGCTCATGTTTCCTATACACGGTATTTTTTTTGCATATTTCTATAAAGTTTTCTGTTCTTTAGAATCTCTTAATTTTTTAAGAGATTGTCTAGCAATCACTACCATGTTGGGAAGACCGATATTACATAAGAGTTCATTAATTTGGATTCTGTCCTATGAACAAACAGCATTCATTTTTGCTTATACAATTCTCAACATTTTCAAATGAAAGTAATGAGGAAGATATTTTGTGTCACATGATTCTGCAATGTGCCTACATATATATATTTATTCAAAATATTATTACAAGGCCTCGAACACTGAATGTTCGCAGAGACAAAAAATCTATTTTCATGAATATCTAATTAATAGACGCTTATTGATTATCGTAACAGCGTAAGCCCCCTTTTTGTCGAATATTTGTAAAACCAATTTTGAATGATATTTCTTTCAAAGTATTATGCTTCCGACGAAATATTGACGCAGCAAAATTCTCCTGACTACATTTTTCAAACTTCATATTTCTCCCTCTGTCCTGCTTAAATTGTGTTTGTTCATTTTTTGCGCTATTAACATATTCAAACCAATATATGAGTTATATTTAAAATTTATATTTCTCATTATATCAAGGAAGAAAAAAGGAAAACGTTTCGTCCCTAGAGGGGTTTTATCAAGGAACATTTCCTTGATAAATTCCCTCAAATGACGAAACGCTTCGGCAACGATAGATGTTCCGTTTGACTTTATGCATTTTGTCCTTTTACCGATATACTCTATATAACTCTCTCTCGTATGTGTGAGTATATATATATATATATATATATATATATATATATATATATATGAAGAAAAATATACAGAAAAAAAAAACAAAAATATTAATATGCAATTATGCTGTATTAATGTTAATATAAAGTCAACGTCGGACGTTTCGGTCTATTTTAGACCATCATCAGGACATATTCATTAAACATAATTAACATTAGAACATATAAAATTCAACATGAAAAGATGGTCTAAAATAGACCGAAACGTCCGACGTTGACTTTATATTAACATTAATACAGCATAATTGCATATTAAGATTTTTGTTAGTTTTTTCTGTATATTTTACTTCATACTGTCGGATCTATATCCATATATTTGCTTTATATATATATATATATATATATATATATATATATATATATATATATATATATATATTTTTTGTTACTCCCTCTCCATACATAATGCAATTAATACTTCTGATTCTTTATATTTTGTTCTATACATCTTATTTCATTCATCTCACCCAACTAATCGATTCGTCTTTTTATAAGTAGGTATTACTTTGTCATTTTCTTTTTGTTTCACTGCTGAAACCCCTAGAATTGTATGTATCTCTCTGTCTGACATTTTTCTGTTCCTGATCCGGCCTTCTTTTTTGTTCATTTCTCTATTTATTAATTCAAAATGGTGGATATATTTAATTTTCATGCTCGGACCAATATTTCCGGCAAGCCTTTGCCAAAAGCTACAGTTATTATACTGAATATTCTTTTAATATCAAAAAATCACTGTAAAGGGCATTTATTATCTCCGATTATTTTCATGCACGCTGAATTATTTTTAGCGGCAAATTCCTATCAATATTCGACTACTGATCAATAGTGACATTAGAGCCTAGTTCATATCGAAAATATTGAGCATCTTAGATTTTGAAAGCAAGTGATTGCTTATCTTACGAAACTTATCTTTGTTTCTTCGTGAATGCTTCTAAGTTATTTTAGATTCTTCAAACTGAATCATTTTCTGTCACGTTGTAGATATCGTCTCTATTGATAAGCTTCGTCCTTCAGTCTAACATTAATATAACGTAATATTCTGATAATTAGTAACTAAATTAGATAAGAATGGATACATTTGAAATAGAGTAGAATAATTAATGCCTATATAGAGAGTGATCCCTCAGATTTTATTGAAATGTGTAAAGAATATTTACTTTTACCAGGTTTATATAATATTAATAGAATTATTTAATTAATGATAGAATTAGCCCTTGACGATTAGTCATCGTTTTACTATGATTATCAAAAGCGTCTCGGTCATGAATTTTCTTATTTCGGCATACTATCTTGAAAAAACATTGAAATTTCTCATCGAATACGTGTTAGTTAAAATATGTAACCAAATCTCAGCAGATGTTAGACTTTGATATATGAAATATTTTTTTTAAATACGTTAACATCGTGTGGCATCTAATTAATTTCACATTAAACGGAATACTTTTATATCAAGGTGAACATTTATCTTAGATATTTACTAAGCTTGCCAAAACCTCATCTAAGATGACAAGACTAAACATCAAACTTATTGACTTATCGATGAATTGTAAGATTAGTTTGGTGACCTTTGCATTTCCAGCCGATGCCACTCTGAAGTTTTTTTCTTTGTTATTCATTCAAAAAACGAGGTATAATTTCTAAAGTCCATATTATTTGTCAATTACTTTTAAATGTCAACTTCCTTCAGGATATATGTGACTCGTTTCTTTATTATCAGTTAATTGGTATATATTTGAAAAGAAGGGGATGGGCTTCTTGTCTTTTTACTATTTTGAATTCAGAAATTCCGAGTGACAACCACCTAATTCAAAACAGACTTTTAGCGTCCTGTATAAGCGATATCCTTAATAATTCAACCCGAAGGGGATGATACCATTAACATAAAGGTGGTTACTGAGTGTGAAATAAAATGAAAAGAATAGGTAAAAAGACAATAAAATAACATATTTCAAAGGGAGAGAACATGGCGATTGGCGTTGCAATTAAATTGTTGATAACATAGTTGTCACTAAAACAAGAAGCCGAAAAAGAAGAGCTACAGGGATAATTATGTGAGAAGAAACTGTTCGAATTGCCATTAAAATATTTATCAAAAATGCACATAGAAGTTCATTTAATCTTTTGGTTATGTGACTGAAGAATACCAAGTAAAGCCTAATATAATTACGGAAGGGAAGGGATTAGATTCATGACGTTCCTAAAGTCAAATGAGATTGCAACACTCAGACTTTGAACGCAACCAGTCCTTTTAATTTTCACCTTCGAAAATCGTTACGCGTTTTGGCGATAAATTTCCGAAAAAAAAAATTAAAAAAAAATCGTTAATATTCTACAGTTTCTTTGAAGAAATTGAATATTATGTTCAAATTATTATGAAGGCTGTTATCAGTTCATTTTTAAGCCCTCTACCTTAACATCATGTTGAAATAAAACAAAATATCTCTGATTTATTTCATGTTTATTTGATTTAATAATTCTGCTACAAGGCCAAATTTATGGAGCCTTCAGCAAGAACTAAACTTGCAAATCAACAATGCTATTTTTATATAGCACGAATAGGTATATATCCTTCCTTTGCAGAGCAATACAACAATAAGAAAATTGTAACTAATACACCAATTACATATTTTTATTATTTGCGATAATTAACCAAACGTTGTTGGCCTGTGGTTTTTCATCTTAAGAATTAATTACGCAGACTCCACATGCATCAGAAATACACAGCGAATGGATTTATTATTTGCTAAGATCCCTCTCAACGACAGAAGCTGACAAGGCAACAGAAGATTAATGTGGTTCTGACATTTTCTGAAGATTATATTAGATTTTATCATTCGTATATGAACAACAGTAAACGCTTTTAACGAATTCTTAGTAAATCACCTTTCATTTACTAAAAATTTTGACTGAAGCAGAGCGACCATGATAAACATTTACTATCTGTTCGAGCAAATATGACGTTCCTGGATTTTAACATGTAAAATAATCGACGATATTACAAAATCAATGTAGTAATTATACCGTAACGAAAACGGTATTTCAATTACATTTTATATCAGTATATGAAAATCATTTGAATCTGAAGAATTTTATCTAGTTTTCAACTTATCGGCCTGAGAAATTATCAATATTGCCTCAGCCACTTCTAAATATGTATCATTCTTTCTGACCTCTTGAACATCGGCGTTCAATATCCGAGTTGAGAATAAATCTTTAATAAGATAAATGTATTAGTGCTAGGGTTTGCGTGATGCTCTATCCCCAGGGGACAGTGTAACGGGTTAAATCAGGACCTTATTTTGATCCTAGTTATTCCCAAATTGTGAGATAAGTCAAGAGCAACAGCGTGTAAA